GGTCCAATTCTCTCTTGGATAAGAAACTTTCTCACAAATCGAAGACAAAGAGTAATGATAAATGGTAATTACTCTGATTGGGTATCAGTAAAAAGTGGAGTTCCCCAAGGTTCTGTTCTCTCAGCTCTATTATTCATTATATACGTTAACGATATTCCCAATATAATTACTTCAAATGCAGCACTTTTTGCTGACGATACAAAAATATTTTACCCTATTACTAATTTGCATTCACACACCGTACTTCAAAATGATATTGATATCTTGGTTGACTGGGCAACTAAATGGGGGATGAAATTTAATATAGAAAAATGTTCAGTTTTACACCTAGGTCATAAAAATAAACATCTTGTCTATTCTATGTACGATCCAGTGAAGAAAACAAGGATTGATATCAAATCTACCAACTCAGAAACTGACCTCGGAGTACATATCGATAATAACTTGCTATTTTCTAAACATACCTCTACTCAAGTTAATAGGGCAATGCAGATGCTATTTCTAATAAAAAGATCTTTCTCTTATCTAAATTCATTTTGTTTTAAAAGACTGTTTTCAGCACTAGTACGACCATATTTAGAATATTGTGGTTCTGTATATAACCCTCGTCTACTGAAAGACAAACGACAAGTTGAAAATATACTCAGAAGAGCATCTAAATCAGTTCATGGATTAAAAAGTCTAACATATCACCAAAGACTATTGAAACTTAATATGACAACCATAAGATACAGACTAATCCGGGCTGATTTAATAAACGTCTATAAATGGCTAAACAACTACTACAACTGTCAAACGATCTTTCCAAAAACAATTATAAATTCTATTACAAGAGGACATTCATTTAAACTAGAAAAACCTTATTCTCGTCTAGCTTCTCGTCAATACTTTTTCACCTTACGAGTAATCAACAAATGGAACTCCCTCCCAGATGACGTTGTAAATGCTACTTCCGTAAGCAATTTTAAAAACAAACTCGACAATTATCTAAAAGAAGAAAAAACAATTTATGACTAGTATATTTATATAGTAATCATAAGACAGGTTGACAGGCATTTCATGCCTATACAAATCCAATTTGTAAACCTTAATAATAATAATAATAATAACGCGGATTAAAAAGCATATTATATTTGTTATTTCCAAATTTGTTTCGTAATTGGCATTTGTCTCTTGATGAAACATGAAAAATTAAAAAATTTTAAAAACACAATTAACAAATACAAATTTTCAAGAAATTTTCTCTTCCAATTCTCATTTATTCAAAGAAAATTTACTATTTAAACTTTTATTTCTCTCATCTTAAAAAAGAATGAGTGAAGCAAAAAAAATACAACTATACAACTCTTATTCATTCAGAGTTTAATTGCGCGAAACTTTTCTTTCTCTTTTGTTCTCCTCTTTTATAAAAAGAGCGCCCGATGAAAAAAAAACTTTTCTTTTTTAACATATAATTATAGTTTGAGATAAAATTAAATTAGAAATAAATCAACAATGAGCAAAGCAACGAACAGATTAATCTGGAACTATTTTGATATTTATGAAAATAATCAACATAAACAACATTACCAACAACAATTATCAAATAAACAACACAATCTCGCATAATTTTAGAGGCATTTTATTTTTATTGCTTAGTCGTTCTAAATAATAAGTAAATTTAGTTCAAGTTAATAATTCAATATTTACAGTTGCAATAGAATAAAGAAATGGTGTTTAATACTGAACTTTTTATTTAGTTATTTATTTTTTTACCTACATTTGTTATAAAAAACTTTAGAACCCCGTCATTAAAATAATTTGTTTTAAATATATTTCGACGTGATTATTCAAACTAATTTTTTCGTTTGACTTTCCGAACTATTTTTGAGATAATAAATATTCATAATTTATAAACATTAAATATATGGCGCAATAACAATTTATAGCAACGAACCAGCATAAAATATTTAAGGTTTTTAATATTTTTTTAAATATTAAAAGTAGAAAAAAAAAAAAAAAGACTAAACAAATGATCAAAAAAACTTCGACTAAAAATAAATAAAAATATTTCTAGAGTTTCATTTGTTAAAAGTCTACCGTGACGTCAAATACTAAAACTTTTATGAATTAAACGCATTTGTTTTTCACGGTATGAATTCATTATTTATTTTTAATCAAAAAAATTTGGTTCAAAACTTTTTTTTTAACATTATCTTTAATATGAACACAACATGAGTTTGGGATCCCTTTAACCTCTTTAATGTTCTTTACTTTATAGTTTTATTATTTTTTGATTGTTGCTTAAATTTAATTTTGGCAGAAAAATGTATTTTTATCATGTGAGTAGTTAAGTGCTAAGATTTTTTTTATAACTTTGTTCTGGTGCATTTTACTAGGGATTTTGAAATTTGGTTTCAACATTTGACCTATAAACCTTAGTAATCTCTCTTTAAAGAAGATTAAAAATACGTTGCTAATATTTTAAATTGTGTGTATGTTTAGTTTTTTTAAATTTTATTTAACCATATTAATAAAAATTTACAAATTTTCATCGTAAATTTACAGATATTGGTTGGGTGTCACTTATATAGATACAAACTAGTCAATGGAGTGACACATAAAAAACATAATGTTCTCAACAATAAAAAAGGAAGAAAAGTAAATGAAATATAAATGAGGAGAATAAAAAAAGAAAAAAAAGTCAACAAAAACTAGATAAATTAAAAGAAAAAGGAAAACAATGATAACAATTATCCTTGCTCTTTTATTAACATTATGAATACTTCTAAATTGAGTTTATATATTAAACATGTAAACCTATATTCTGGTTTCTTTTTATGATATTTTGAAGACTTTTAAACTTTATTTAAAACAAATTAAAGGTTGAAGCTTTGATTACTTTGAGCTCTTATGTTTATTATCAAATTTTATTTAAATTAAATAAATATCAGCCTACTCAGCCCCTGTTTATTTATAAATGAAAAGTAAATAATAATATAATCATAAATAAAAAATTTATAAAATATTCTATTTATTATTTTATTTAAAGCTCACTCTACAGAGTTGTTAGATTACTATGGAAGCTTTTATCACAGATAGTTAATATTTGATTTCAGATACTGATGCAGATTTATCCATTACAGAGACAGAAGAAGAATGAATACTAAGATTTCAGAGTGTAAAAGATTAAAAGAAGCTAAAGAAAATGATATGCAGTGTTAAGTTAAAAATAATCAAAAACAAAAAAATGCTTAAAAGTGTGTAAAAAAGAAGTTAGAGAGAAATCTATCAATTGCACTTTTTATTAGCAGCAGGTTCACAACAGTTGTAGTGGAATACAAAATGGTCTTAGCTTGGTTTTTTTTTTTTAGTTTAGAAATTGTTCGTTTAATGAATACAGAGAAGTAAAAAAAAGATATTGAAATAAATAGCAATAAAAAAATAAAGTGTGTTTGTAAGATTTTTTATGTTGTAGATACAACTAAATCAGCAAAGAGTGTTTATTTAAAGAAGGAGTGGTCAAGTGCAAAAGATAAATTTACTCTAGTAATGTTCAGAGATTTTTATCCACTTCTATTAACAAAAGGTGCATTAAAAATAAAAATAAAATATACAGCACATGAAAAGATGCATTAATATGGTTTGCACTCAGAAAAAGTACAACTAGAAGTAGGAAAATTTGGGGAGAATGTTTCAAAAAAGCTTAAGTTTAAAAAAAAAACGCTCGGTGGGTCAAGTATCAGAAACGACATAATGAGAAACTTTCAAACAGGGGCGCTGAGAGCTTTTGCCCTGCCTGGGACAGCAACCCTGACTGGCGTCCTTATTTTTATACGATTTTTCATTATTATTAGTCAAGGACCTTAGTTTTGGTACCTCTTTTGTTTTACACCCCTGCTGATCTGAATGCTGATTAAATTTTAAGCATATATGAAGCTTCGGCTTCGGCCGAAGCTTCGGCTTTGGCAAAGTGGAACATTCGGTACGAGTTGCGAGCGCGTCGTTTATTAAGTTGTAGAAGAAATGTAAAGTTGTATTTGTGATTCAAATTCAGTTTTTGTCAAGTTTTCAAATTTTGCGGTAATAAAAAGAAGGTAAGTATAAATAATGAAATTGTTTATGGATTATTAGCTTGCGAGTAATTTTTTATTTTAAAATTTTAGACAAATAGAAACTGTCAGCAGCAATCAATGGAGAGTACTCATAATAAAGAAAAAAATGTTTTTAAAACTCATAATAATAAGAAACCATCTGGTGCTCAATACAGAAAACGTAAAGCAGAAAAAGTTGATAATTTGAAGAAAAATTATAAAAAACTTGAAAATTTTTTTACATCGGAAGATAGTGATTGTAATAAAATAAAGGAAGGAGAAAATGTTGCGCTTGTACTTAGTGATACATCAACCAGCGATGAAGAAGACGGAATAGTGTCAGTTGGAAATGTTCACTACGATGAAAAAGATATCGATAACGAAAATGATGATGGCCAAGATGGTGATGTAAATAATCGCACCAAAGAAACAGCAATCGATTACTCAGACTGTGGTTTGTGGCCAATTCATCGCAACATTCAATTGGTTGATTATGTAATTAATATAGGTGCAATACAAGTGAATTTGGACACATATCCACGCGATAATAGAAGACATTTTTCAAATGCTTATTACAACCGAAAACTTTCAAATGGTGAGGTTATTTCACGACGTTGGCTTGTGTACTCAGTTTCTAAAGATGCGGTATTTTGTTTTTGCTGCAAACTTTTTGATTTCAACATGAATTTAAAGTTAAACGGAAATGGATTCAATAAATGGAAGAATTTAACAGAAGCATTAAAAATTCACGAAAATAGTAAGTCACACAGAATTGCTTATCAACTATGGATTGAGACAGAAATACGAATGAAAGCTGGTGAAACTATTGATAAACAAGAACAAAAACTAATCGAAAAGGGCAGTTAAAGGTGGCGAAGTGTTCTTGAACGATTGATGAACATTACTTTATACTTGGCAACAAATAATATGGCCTTCAGAGGTTCTTCTGATAAATTGTATGCAGTTAATAACGGCAAATTTTTAGGATTGGCACAATTACTCGCTAAATTTGATCCTATCATGTTAAACCACGTCACGCTAGCTCTTAAAGGAGATATTTCTGATCATTACTGTGGAAAAACCATTCAAAATGAAATGATAGATATAATGGCATCAAAAGTAACCAACATAATTATATCCAAAGCTCTAAAAAGTACATATTATTCTATTATTGCTGACTGCACTCCTGACGTATCTCACAAAGAACAACTCTCGCTTACGATTAGAATTGTAAATATATCAGAATATCCTATAAAAATAAATGAACACTTTCTAGGGTTTTTCAATGTTAACGACACGACAGGTCTTGGTTTAACAGAAATCATAATTGGAGCATTAAAAGATTTTGGACTGAATATAAGCTTTTGTCGAGGGCAAGGTTACGATAACGGTGCAAATATGAAAGGTAAAAAAATAGGTCTACAAAAGCGAATATTAGATTTGAATCCTTTGGTTTTTTACCTTCCATGTGGAAGTCATTCTCTCAATTTGGTTATTTGTGACGCAGCGCAGTCTTCACTAAATTCCATTAACGCTTTTGGCATAAAACAAAGATTATTCATAATATTTTCGGCATCAACTTCACGCTGGAATGTTTTACTTAGTCATACAACAAACTTCACTCTTAAACGATTATGCGAGACTCGTTGGGAAGCCAAAATTGAGAGCCTCAAAGCCATCCGATACCAAATAAGCAGCGTACATGATGCTTTAATTACTATATATGAAACTGAAACCAAAACTCCCGATATTGCACACAAAGCGCAAACATTAGCAGAACAATTAAAAGACTATAGTTTTTTAGTTTCTTTAATTGCATGGTACAATGTACTATTCCAAATAAACGTTGTTAGTAAAGCAATGCAAGCCAAAGACATGGATCTAGTACAGTGCGCTGAAATGTTGAAAAAATGCATCACATTTTTTGAAAATTACAAAACGTTTGGGTTTAAACAAGCAACGGTTGATGCCAAAGAGTTAGCTGAAGAGTTGAACATCGATGCAATATTTAAGCCGCTTAAAAGAGTGCGACGAGTGAAACGTCATTATGATGAAAATGCTTTTGACGAACCAATTCAAAATCCCGAGAAGAAACTTGGAGTGACATTTTTTAACCCTTTATTAGATACATGTCTGTCGTCAATAAATGAAAGATTTGAACAACTTAATGAATATGTAAGTATATGGAGTTTTTTATTTAATTGGATAATTTGCCCATCAAGAATGAACTTTTAAAATTGTGTAAACAATTACAAGAAAAATTAACTGTAAATACAAAATCAGAAATCGATGGTGCTTTGCTATGCGACGAACTAATAAGTGTGCAGTTTTTTATAAAAGATAAATTAAGCAATGTTGAAAATGAAATAAATACAAAAGAGATGACACCACTTTTTTTACTGAATCTTATTAAAAAACATTGTCTACAAGAGTTATATTCAAATACATGGATTGTTCTGCGCATTCTTAATATAATACCTCTTACTGTTGCTAGTGGAGAACGTAGTTTTTCTAAACTGAAGTTAATCAAAACATATTTAAGAAATACCATGTTGCAAGATCGACTTAGTTCTCTATCTATGTTATCAATCGAGCAAGATATAGCTGAAAATTTAGATTTTTCTAGTTTGATAAGAGATTTCGCGGACAAAAAAGCTAGAAAAGTTAGATTTTAAAATTTAATAACTCTTGTTTATATAGTTAGAGGATTTATTATATGTTTAATAAAAACATTTGTTATTTTTAAAGCAGCGTTGCGTTGTCTATTTATTTAGTCACTCATTTCTATAAACCCATATCATGAAAAGTCTAAGTTTATAATTTTAATAAAAAATTAATTAAATAAGAAACTTGATGCACAATATGGATCTCTTTGCATTAAACTATATATTCCCTTTAACACTCTTGTTCATCATTTTAGAGCATTGGCCTCGTTGTTAATGGTAACAACCTACCCATATATACCTAGGGGCGCGTTCACAGGTTTTGCCCAACCTGTCAAAAAAGCTAAGGCCAGCGCTGTATATGAATAATAGTAAAACAATGTTATAATATTACTATTACATAAAATAATATTTTTATTACATAAAATAATATTACTATTACATAAAATAATATTTTTATTACATAAAATAACACCAAAAGTAATAATAATAATAACCCACAATGAGCCCAATATTTTACAAACAGTATCTTTTCAAAAGTAGGCATAAAGACCGGTTTAAGTAATAAGGTTTAGTGATTTAAAGTGAAGAGGTAATCTATTCTATGATTTAATGCATTGGTTTGTGAATTATTGACGTACATAACAAAGTAATGATTGAGGATATATAATTTAAGGTTACTAAACGACGCAAGATAATAACAAGAACTTTTTATAGCAGTAAAGAAATAATAGATTGAGTGAGGTAGGTTAACTTGTTTCCAGACAAATAGTAACAAGAACTTTTTATGGCAGTAAAGAAATAATAGATTGAGTGAGGTAGGTTAACTTGTTTCCAGACAAATAGACAATTTAATAGATGAGCAAGAGCACACAATTTGATGATTTTGGATACAAGGTAAAGGATATTAATCTTTAGAACAATATTCTTGAAAGTATATTATTTTAAATGTTTTGATTATATATTTTTAAAAAACTATTGGTTGATAAGTAGTGCGTAGAGTATTATATTAGTATACATATTAAAGTGTTTGTAGTATGTTTGAGAAATAAAATTTATATTAGATAAAAGAGATATGTTTTTTACTATTAATATATATTTATCTTTAGAAAAGTATATTGCTGATTTAATAGTTTTATTGTTCTAATTGGTCATATTGTTCATTGTTATCAAAATTACACATGTTAGAAGATCGTGTTATTCGATTTATAAAAAAATAGTCTTCTTAAATCACACAATCAAAAACTAACCCTATAAACAGAAAGCTTAAACCAACCTTGAGAAAAAGAATATATTGCAATAAAAATTTTTAAAAATGAAAGTCTAAATAATGTAAAAATTTTATGTAAGAGATTAAATATTATACAAAAGATTAAAAAAAAAACAGAGAAGCAAAATACTGCAAAATATATGAAAATTACTAAATTCATTTTTTTCTTTGTTCGTTGCATTTCATACTACCAGATAATTCTTTTTTTCCCTTTACCCACCCCTGTTTATTAAATAATTAGATTTATCTTGACATTATTTTCAAATATTTTAAAAAATTGACTAGTTTATAGTTCACTTGATTTTTATGAGTAGCTCCCTAACAGTCGTAAACTTATTGCTTGTTATTTAAAGATTTTTAAACAAATCATGTGCCTTTAATTTTAAAGTTGTAAATCTTACACCAGTTATTAAAAACCCTAGGGAAAGAGTTTGAAATCTTATTTGATTGAAAACTTAGTTATTTTAAACATTTTAAATTTTTTATTTCGTAGCACTTAAAAAGTAGTTAAGGGATCGTCCATAAAATACGAACACTCGGAGAGGAAGAGGGGTCTGCAAATGTAAAAATGTAAGATGGAGGGAGGGGGAGGGGAGGGGAGAGAAGGTAGTAGGTCAATTATAAAAAATTTGGAGACACTAAATTTAAAAAAATGTTATAAAATGGTGGGTTGGTAGGTTAAAAACGTAGGTACTTTTAGGCAAGTATAGGATTAGATTTCTTACTTGTTCTCCAAGGCACTTACTAAGGAGTACTATACTAAATCCGCCACTAATACAACTTCTTCTTATGGGTATCCATAATATATATATACGCAGCTAAACCACTGGTTTCGCACCCCCGTTTCCTATTGTACGTTAATATTATGACATCCAACGTTTCTTTAGGTACTTTGAAAGTTTAACTTCTTAATCCTTTGTATCCGCCCTTAACGTACGCATTGTTAAGGCTTTCTTAATGTGTAACATCTAGGGATATACAAATAGCTATTTATTTGTGCGATCTAATTCCGTTGTGATAAAAATTATTATTGAATTTTAATTTAATTTCTTATTAATTAGTAAACTTTTAGCAAAACCTTAGATATATTTTGTTTACAAATATCACGTCACTTGAGAAATAGGAGGCTGGGATGAGAGGGGGGGGGTACAAAAATATCACAAAATCATTTTGGGAAGGGAGATATCAAAAAAAGTGTCGAGCAGCCTTATAACTACAAAAAATCAATTCCCCAAGTTTTAAATTTAAAACATTAAAAACAAACAGGATCAAAAATTTTTGTTAATTCAACATTTTTCTGTATTTAAGACAGGTTTCAAAGGGCATGAAAAAAGACATGGACAAAAGTTTAACTCATCATTTATATAACATTAATAGTTCAATTAAAGAGCTAAAAATATTTGATAGTATAATTTAAATGTATTATAATATACACTAATAAAATCTCTAAATTTAAAGTAAACCTGTTTGAATCTGTACATTGACTAAAAGGCCAGGTTTGCTAGATTGTGGAGCTTTGTATCCCATGGGAAGGAAATAAGTTTATATAAAATCTATTAATTATACTTTTAACAATAACAACAAAATTATCGATAAATTTTATTTATTTATCTCTTAGTATTACATAAGTTAACAAGTTGTATCATAATGATTGAACTTTTGATTTAATTATCAATCGAATTTCTGAAATTCATCAATATAATCAATCTGTATATTATTAGCATATTCCATTAATACAGAACTGGTCTACTTTATACAACCATATTTTTTAAATCTTGAAGTTTTTAAACTTTAAAAAAATGTAAAATCTGGTTTCAGCTTCTGTCAAGTAAGAACATAATACGGTGCTTTTATTGATCAAATTGTTTTCTTGAAGTATTTTATAAAATTATCTAGGAAAGAAAATGTCAGCTTAATTATATTAACAAAGTCAGCTAGTAAATTAACCCCTACTTGATCAATATATAAAATCATATATAATACTAATAAATATCAATAAGCATTGTCTAACTGTACATTACCAGCTACTAATGCAACTTGGTATCTAAATTAGTAAACCGAACCATATTTAAGTATTTTTTACAAGACAATAATTATTGTTGTCAATTATTAGGATGACAATTAATTATCGTCATAATAATTGTTCCAATATTTCCAATATTATAGGGTTGAAATATTGGAACAGCTAATATGATGACAGATATATAGTCTTCTATAAAAATAGTACATATAAAAAATGGATGTATTTTAGATTTAGTATATGTAAAAAAACCAAGTAATGTTTTAACTTGATTAATTTTTAGTTTAATATGAAACAATAAAATTAACTTAAAGTTCATGTAAGCTATGTATATTATTGTGTTTCTAAAAAATATTTGTCTTGTTTGCTCTTTTTAATTCCTGAAAAATAATGAAACTTTACATAGCTTATACTTATGTACGTTGTTCTCTCTCTGCTTCTCTCTCTCATTATATATATATATATATATATATATATATATATATATATATATATATATATATATATATATATATATATATATATATATATATATATATATATAAAAATTAGTAAAAACACTTATCTAATTTTTATTTTCTTCTACAGCTTGTTTCGCTATCAGTTGGATCATAAGGCTTCCTGACGATTCTACTGATGGAGAAACAAGCTGTAAAAGAAAATAAAAATTAGATAAGCGTTTTTACTAATTTATTATTGCTCTGTTCTTTTAAGAACATTGAGCACTCTTTTTGTAGAATACATTTTAAATTGTTTATATATATATATATATATATATATATATATATATATATATATATATATATATATATATATATATATATATATATATATACACACATACATATAAATATATATATATACATACATATACACATATATATATATATATATATATATATATATATATATATATATATATATATATATATATATATGCATTTTTTTATAAAAATGCACCAAAACAAAATTCAAGAAAAAACTAAGCTCTTAACAAGTTAAACGAGTTAAAATACATTTTTACAGAAAAATTAAATTTAAGCAACGACCAAAAGAAGGTCAAAGTATAAAGAAAGTAGTAATAATAATAAAGAAAAGTTTTTTTTAAATTTGTACAGTTAGAAATTCTCAAAATTTATTTTTAAAAATAAACTTAATGTTACAAATAAAAGTTTTAGCCAAAACACAAATTAAAACTTTAAAAATAATTGGTTAGCGTATTTATTTATTTACTAATACAAAAAAAGGCATTTATTTAGATCAGTAATACGGTTGCAACATTATTTTTAACAAAAATAAACTAAAAATAATAGTTGCTATATAGAAAAGATTATGTAGCTAAGAGCCGCAGCCATTTTAAAAACTCTGAAAATTTAATAAACTTCTGGCACATGCGCACCTAAACTTAACGCTTGTATATGACCGTGAAATGACTGTTCACATTTTACATATTTAAAAGGTTTTTGAAGCTAATTGAATTTGCCAATGGCTGTACAGAAAAGATTACCCTATTGGCCCATAATTTTGTTAGAGACAAATTATTGAGCAACACCATAAAGAACCTCATACTGGTTGCCAGAGAATAACTTCTTAAACTAAAAATGAATATTTCTAAGAGACTTTCACGTATCACAAAAAAATTGCACTTTTTTATGATAAATGAAATTTTACAGTCACTTTTACTGGAAAAAAGTGTTGTTTTGGTAATTTTAGCCTATTTGGACCTTAGAGAATGGGAAAAAATGAAGAGATATTTTGTTTTTGGGACACCCTAATACAGTGGCGTATGAAGCTTTTTAAATGTTTGAAATAACCATTTTATAAACAAGAATATTCCAAACTTTTTTACGTTCATATATATGACAAAAATATATATATATATATATAAAAAACATTACTGTGATAGGAGAATAGGAACAAGAAACCCTAAAATCTTAAAACATTTAGTTTCAAGATTTTAGGGCTTAGAACACTAAAATATTTTAGCGTTCAAAAATATTAACCATATAAAGTTTAAACCCCCTCAATTTGAGGGGGTTACATATGAACGTAAAACAATTTAGAATATTCTTATTGTTTATAAGTCAAGAAAAATATTCGAGCAAAGAAAAAGACCACTTGAATCAAAAAATATGATTATGAAACAAAAAACTTAACATTTCACAAAGTTCAACCATTGCAGATGTTAATCAAGTTATTGACATAGATTATCCAGGTCATGTTTTAAAAAATCCGGAAATTTGGTTGGGTCGAATATCCTGACAAAATCTGGAATAAATTTTCCTTCTAAATTTTCTTTTGGCTGAGTTGTTTCAAACTTTTTTCCAAACTTTTTATAATTTTTGTATGATTGATTAGTGAAAAAGCTTAAAAAACAAATATATAACAAAAATATACCTAAACTTGTATGTGTAGAAAACATTTTGAATATCCGGAAAAACTAAAAGTTAAGAAAAATATCCGGAAAAAGATAATCCCTGTATTAAAGACAATGAGCAAGTTATCTCAGAATGATTCCGTTTTTTTTATTGCAGCAAATAAACAATCACAATGTACAAGTTTTCCAAGATCATGATTGTACGTTAGTTGTGACTCAAGACAATGATTTAAGATAAGACTTAAACACTGTAATATTTAGTTTTTATAGTAAATGGTGTTTATGTGTGGAGAATTATATAAAAATGTCTTAATTATTTTCTTTTCATAACCTTTAAATTTGATCAACAAGTTTATTTAGTGATTTGTTATATTTTATTGAAAAACTTGTTTGTTTATTCTCAAAATAGTTTTATTAGATTTTTTAAAAATTAATTTAAGCTAATACAAAGAAATTTAAACAACTTTTTTGATTTATAAGATTAAAATTGAAATTCAGTTTAGTAGTATTCAAAGTTACCCTAAATGCAAGAGTAACTTTGAATCCCAACATAAACTTGTTTTTTTTACAAAATAACTAGCCAATTTAAAACAATGATAACAAACTAGAAAAAAGAGATCATCAGAACACCTTTTATGTAAAAATATTTGATATCTAGTTTGTTAAAAATTTTTTGTAGAGATAAACCTAGTGCAAATCATTTAAAGTTACCTGGAATGAGTTTAACAAATTTATAAAAAAAAAAGATCATATAAAACGGCGTTTCTCAACATTGCAAATAATGAAATTCAAAATTAATATTCAATTTTGACGCAAACATCCTAACTCATTTAAAAATAAACGTTATTCTACACTTTGGAATTTCTTTTAGAGACAATGCTGCGATAAATTCCAAAACATACGATTAAAAAATGTTCCAAAACATACGATTTAAAAATAAACACTGAACTAATGTGAAAAGTACTAACAGCAATTATGGAAAAATCCAGAGATAACTAGAGCTCATCTGCTAAATTCTTTCTCTATAATCTTTAAACTCGAAGATTTTGGCTTTTTATATGAAAACACTATGTTACTATGTTTATAAAATAGCTGCATTAAAAAAATTCTGCAGACTAACATATACAGATATGCGGATATACAGATAATTCAAAAACGTAAAAGTTACTTATTTTTCTTATTTTACAACTTTCAAAAAAACAAGTTAATGGTCTCGAAACTATTACGCCACACCATTAGCACAGTTATAAGTACTTCCACTGTCTTTACCGTTTGATAGACTATACTTTTCTTCGCATTTGTTACGAGGATATCGAAGTTTCCCGTCCTCTGTTGAAGAAATCAGCCGAGCAAGCGGTGTGCTAGAGCATGTACGATGTTCACGATAGAGTGTATTATCCGCGCAATACTCATCATTATGAGAGCAATCTAAAGTTAAATATTTTAAATTATAACCCATACATAAATTCTTATATTTATAATTTAAGTAAAATTAAAAAATAAATAAAAACTTTTTTGTTGATAAGACTGTTTTTGTTGGTTTGACTGTCCGATTGAGTTATACTGTTTAACCACATTATGTCGCATATCTCTTAATGTTCTATAAGTTAGTCCTTTCTCAGGCGACCTCATTGAAGGTGTCTGTGCAATACTTTTATAATCAGCTAAACCCTTTTGTACCAGCTTTAATCCAATATTATCGTTGGAAATATCGTCAATGATATCAACACGATGACGGTATCCAATTGAAGTGATATATCGAACCCTTACTAAACGGCCTTCGGTCAACGATCTAAATGCAAGTATTGCATCACGGTTAAAAGAATCAGCCGATCTTGATGGAATTAAATTATTAATTTGCATAACCAAAGCTTGAGCAGGATATTTCTGCAACTCTTCAGGTAACGGTTTTATGTTTTTTCTTTTGATATTTGCTTTTATACCATAATCGATAAGATAAATAACAAAATCATCGGAAATACTAATGATGTAACCACGATACCATAATTGATCACGATACTTGACTGAACATAGCTGGCCTGGACAAAATTCAAGTTCTCTTTCATCATTATCATATAACTCATGAAGTTTAACGCTTATTTCGTCGACTTTAGCAATTTTTTCATTATCAAAGATTTGTACATAAAAGATTCGAGGACTGACCGCATAAATGACTATAGCTTTAAACTCATCTTGTGGAATTGTCTCATACATAACTTTCTTGTAAATGTCAGAAAAAGGAATAACTTCTTTTTTAATATATTCACCACTTGAGTTTTCAGCTTCCGTAACAAACGAGTTTAATACAGCTATACCCATTTTCTCCATAAGTAATTCAACAGACTCGTTATCGTTCATTAGTTTCATTTTCACGATTGAAAATACACCTTGATTTTGCTTCGATATAACTTTAACATTTTGATTATTTACAATACTTTTAAACTTGAATATAGCGCTATCTGACCAATCTTGATCTTCATTTACTGGCTTAACAAACATCAATTTAATTGGTATAACTTGCGCTGCGTAATCTTTGAGCTCTTTGAAAAACGGACGAATGCAGTTATGATTAACAACTAACGTAAATCCATAATCTATGCAAAATACTACAACCTTGTAACTATCTACGCTACATGCAACACATCGAAACCATTTTCCATCTTTCTGAACACAACATAATGCACCAGCTTTTAAATGTAAAGTTTCATTACTCTCTTCTACCAAATAAGAAATTTTTTCTGAAAGATTCTTAACTACATCGAGAGAATCTAATCTTAATCCATAAATTAAGTAAGGCGATTCAATATGAGTTATTGAGATAATAACAGCTTTATTTGAGATCGGTAAAAATGATAGGCGCATTTTAAACGACACAGACTCTAATGGATGTTCACGCCGTGGAAGATTTGAAACCGTAAAGTTGTTTGCTGTTAAGACCTTAGATTCCCCGCCATTATGCATTACATCGTTTACTGTTGATTCTAGAGTTGTATTCGCATCGTTAAACTTTTTAGGCAAACGTTCATCAGGTTTGGATAAAATATCGCAAACATCAGTTTGATTATCATTTAGAGCTTCAGATATTTCTGATGAAGATGCTTCAGATGCTTCTGTTAAAACTAATACAGACATAACATCAACAAAAGAATCATCTATTATATCTACTTCTAAAAACCCATCACTTAAAACACTTTTGACAGCAGCAGAACACCTTCTATTTTCCGTCCTTTTTCTAAACTCTTCTATAACGCTAGCATAAGGTTTAACATTTTTTGGATTGTAAAGTTTCATTGGTATAGCCAAGGAAGGAAACTTTAAAAAAGTGTTAGTAAAAGGTCGCAACATTGAAAACGACAGATCACAGCAGTTCCCATAGTCAATGAAAAATACATTTGCTGATGAATTACTAACATATTTAACATAGACACGATACCAAGCTTCATCTAAATATCCAAAACATAGCTCTCCATTTTTTGGTAAATAGGATTTGATTTCACTTAACTGGCAGTGATCATACATTTCTAATTGCATCTCATAGTTCTTTGTTAGAAGTTCATTATCACAAACTTGTGAATAAAAACATTCCAAACTTTCAATATGACAAACTAAAATATCAAATTTCTCAGGTAAAGTAAACAAGGGTAACTTAGTATATGGGTCTAATATTCTTTTATTGAGCGATTCTTCAGATTGTAGCACTAAAGTCTCATGTAAGTCTCTCGGTGAATCATATGTTTTTAAAGGCTTTTCATCTATTTCAGTCTTACTTATATTGTTTTCAATTACTTCTTTTGTATATGTCTTATCTAATAAATCCAACGGTTTACTTTCACTTTCGCAAACTTCATCTGAACGTTTAGCATAGCCTTTGTCTATCAACAACTTTGAAAAGGATGATACATTATTTGAAGACATATCTACATAACATACATCATTTGTTTTCTCCTTAATAGTAATGTCAACCTTACTGTTTATGCAACACTCCATAAAAAACCTGCAGCATTCTTCAGACCAACTATTACCATGTAACTCGACAATGCCATAAAGTGAAAGGGAATAAGCTTGACATGGAATTATAGAATACTTAAGTGGAAGAGGCTTTACATCTCCGAGGGCAACAGTTTGAGTATTACCATAATCAATTGATGTTACTTTAATTTCAGATTTTCCTATATAGTCAATACGTGCACGAAAATACTGTTCATATGTTATAAAAAAAACCGCACAGACTTCACCAACAATAGGTATATACTCCAAAATATCGTCACTATAATATGATGTCATATCTTGAGACATCAAATCAAGATCCTTAATAAGATCTATATCAGGAATTTGTCCATGAAACTTTGATGGGCTATCAGTATTTACAATTAGCAATGAAAAAGTTTCAACTGGAAAATCTATTTTAGGGAGGTCATTATACATTACCCTTTTTAAAATGCATTTTGATTCTTGACTTTTGCTGGTATCTTGGGTAATATTTTGTGTAATATTTACCGTTTTTTTCTCTTTAGGACAAGCTAAATTTCTAGAAAGTAAAACAGATGCAACATCGGAGTCATTAATTTTTATATGTACATTAGCAAAAGTTTTAACATATGTAAGACTTATTTTAGTAGCTTTCTCTTTAGAAACATCTACTTCAGAAACTATTTCAACAGAGACTTTTTTAAACAAAACCAGATCTTTAAAAACTTCAACAGCTTCTGTATTCCATGTGTCAGCCTCAGGATAATTTTCTTCTTCACATTGAAATATTTTAGGTTTAATATTATTTAACCGCAATGCAATTGCTTGTGATGGCAATGATATATATCTTGGAGGTAAAAGTCTCAATCCATCAAAAGGAATTACCACAACATCACCATAATCAATTAAAAATGCAACAACCGTTTCTGAATAAACAGCTAAAACTAAAATTCTGTACCATTCACCATACTCGGCATAAAATCCAGCACAAACATCTCCTTCTACAGGTTTGTGATTGCTATTATTAACTGAATTAGAGTAAAGTTCATATAATTCTACCGATATATTTGCAATAGTTTCATTAAGAGATATATCAGCAACTCTACCATAAAAAAAATAAGGACTTTCTACATGAGTAATTAACAAATCAAGGTTTGAGCTGGAAGGAGAGTAAAAAGTAATATCCTTTACAGTGTAATGTTGAAATAAATTGATTTTAAATGAATCATTTGGAGTTGTTTTTTTTAAAGAAGTTTCTTTATGACTGATCTCTTCAAAAGATTTTCTTTTAGCAAACCCTATATTTAAAAATAATAATAAACAAAATTACAATTTGTATACATACAGCCATACATATATACATAAAAATACATTATTAAGATTTATGATTAAAAAAAAAACACTCTTTAAGAAAATACACTTTAAGACAACTATTAACCCATTCACACCAAAACCACACATAATTAAACTGCGTCTAAATAAATTGTTGTGAGGTTGTTTTATTTAAATAGCTTTAGTGCTGTCTCTGCAGAGTTAAATCCAGTTCTAAATTTGATGTGAATGAAAAAATAAAATGTGAATACTAATTTTAAACTGTTTTATAAACTTCCTAGCCACGAGTACAACAACAAAAAAATGTAAATAAGCAGTTTTAAATCTGCTTAGAAGTTTTAACCTTGTTAAACTCTGAAGTTTTAACTTTGTTTTAACCCTGATCCTAACCCTGACGAATATGATACAATTTTAAACCACATTTAAATGACCTCTTTAAACTATAAACTTCTTTCCTTAATGATTTACAGTCCTTTCATTTTTACTGATTACTGAATTTAAAAGCTAGACTAAGTTACACAACAAACAAGTTTTATTTCTCTGTACACACTCTTTATTAATATTTTTGAACACTTACACAGACACTTAAATTTAATTCCAAATTTTTGATAGTAAAGAAGCAAAAAGGGTATTTCCATGTCAAATGACCCAGAAAATTTTAAAAATGCCTATTTAACCCTATATTTCAGATTTTTATATAATTGATAGTTGCTTGGTAAACAAAGAATTCCTTGAAAATTTTAGCCTCTAGCTCCAAGGAGATCTTGAAATAAGACCAATTTATGTATAGTAGATTTTTGTTGGACCCCTTTTGCCCTCTCAGAATTGCAGTGTTTATTTAGAGGTTTTAAGTTTCATAACTGTAAAAATATTTGATTTTTTTATTTAAAAAATTGTAACTGGCTATTTTCAGGGGTGACGAATTCAATGAAATTTTCAGAAATGTAAAAAATTATTAAAAAAGTACCTGTGTTTAAATATCAATCATCAAAATCAATCAATCAATTTAAATAAGTTCAGGGAATTTTTTACATACCTGATTTTGATGCTCAAGAAATTATGTGGCCTTAATGATATAATTTTTTTTTTTTACACAACCTATGATTAATGATTTTTTAGAAATAATCATAGATTGTATAAAATATATGATTAATTCTGAATAATCATTGATTTTACACAATGGGGCACGGTCCCCACTTCTTTGTTGCAGAATTTTTAAATTGAATTTTCATAACCTTTCAGACTAACTGGAACTCTGAAACATTTTACATTGTAAAATTTAAAAATTTAAATTGAAAAAAATTGGCATTTTTAATGCTAAAATGTTAATAGCAAGTTTTTTAATTAACTAAAATTTAACAGTAGAAAAAAAAAAAAAAAAAAAAATCCTGCTATATTATTTCATCAATAAAAATGAAAATTATCACCTTTTAAAATCATTGTTTTAATTGATATTTGCTAATTCTAAAATATTAACATCAAATTGTTTTATTAATTAAGAACTATTAACATAAAAATCATCCTGTCATTTCACTAGTATAGAAGAAATTTATTACTTATCAAATTCATCATTTACATTTTCAACGTTAACAAACTAATTACAATTAAACAACCTTGTTAAACAGACAAAAAAATTATTTTTTACATTCAAAAAAGATTAAAAAAAAAAAAAAAATTAACCAGTGTTGGTTTCCATTACCATAGTGATTAAGTTGCTTTAACTACTATTAGTACTATTTTTAATTTTATCATAAATTAAATAAACTCAAATACATAATATATAAAATACATAATTTATAACATACATGCATAAAACACATAAACTAAAATATTGTAGAAAGACTGATTTAAAGAGATTTGATTGTTATAGAGAAACTGGCAGAGAAAAATTAATTTGGAGATCTGGAAAAATAGGCGTCAAAATTTTAAAGAAAAATTCCTGGAACTAGCCCCTTTCATCAATTTAACCTAGAATCTATAGATACTATAAGCTTTGAACAAACAAGTACATAGATGAAGCTTTATTGATGAAGGTATATAAAAAATTGCCTCAAGTTATTTATATTGATAAATACAGGTACTTATTTATAATTTTTTATATTTTGATCATTTCATTAAATAATTCACCCCTGAAAATAGCCAGGTACAAATTTTTAAGTAAAATGATTGAATATTTCCAAAGTTACGTGCCTTAAAACCTGTAAATAAATGTTGCAATTCTGAGGGGAAAAGAAGGGCCTGGCCAATATATATTTAAAGTAAAATGGTCATATTTCAGGATTTTCTTGAAACCAGTGGCTAAAATTTTCAAGGAATTCTTATTTTACTAAGTCTACTAACTCTTAACTGTATAAAAATCAGCAAAATCTAAACTGTGCAGTGACAAAATTACCAAAAAATTAAGTTTATTAAAAAAAATCAGTCAAAATCACATTATATCATTGTTCTAGCATTTATATAATAAGATAAACTTACTAGTATAATAATACATTAATAAGATTAATTTTTTTTTTTTTTTTTTTTTATTTTAATTCACCTCCTCAAGGCCAAGAAGGCCACTACAGACGAGGAGGCTACTTATTTGTGGTTATAACCCTCTCTCAACTCTATAGCTCCGAAACACGAACCTTGACGAGCAAGGCCGCTGCGCGGAGAAACGAGTTGATATACATTAAAACACTACTTAAATACATTAAAACACTACTTAAATATAAATTCTAACTTTTACTGTTGTCTTTTTTTAAGAGAATGAGAAAGGCTTTACTTCAAAGCAAAAATTATTTATTCAAACATTTCATAAATTTAATGCAATGAAATCAACTTACTAAAAGATTTGATTAAATCTAATTCCAAGTCTAAGTCATAAAAAAATCCAAGTCATAAGAAAATTATTTAATAAGACAATATTTTACACATTACTTATCTAATTTTTTCAATTAAGCATTAACTTAACTTTTTATTCTTCAGGTTTACAATTTCAGAAAAATAAAAAATTTTGAAGAAAAAAAAAAGAGCTCAAAATTCCCATTTTGTGCAGGTATAACTCACAAACTATATATTTTAAAAGCTTCGCGTAAGAAAACTATATATTAACCAACTTGAATTTTGTGTGTGTGTGTGTGTGTGTGTGTGTGTGTGTGTGTGTGTGTGTGTGTGTTATTTATGACATGCTAACCAATGTGCAAACGCCTGACTTAATGATTTTTTTTAAGAACTGGAAGTGTTTTTCTAATTTTACTTTAAAACATAGCAGCATCCCATTGCAGTTTTAACAAGTTTGCCGTATTTAACTTCTTAGGCACAAAGACACCACACAACTAGTAATGTGGCTTAATTGATATAATGCAACTAGTTGTTTCTTTGCACACTGCAAATGGCACTAAATGCTAAATATGTATGCTTTAGACAAGCACCTTTACAAAATTGTATATTTAAGTACAATTGAAAACACGATGTAACTTTGGCTCATTCTTAAGCATAAATGGATTGTTAATATATAAAAGAAGCTCTATCAGCTAGTGTAAAAACAACTTTGATCTTAACACTCCATGTCATTGAATGCAGGATTTGATTTTCCTTTGCCAGGTGCAAAAAAAAAAATGTCACTATAATTTCTTTTTAAGTATTACTTAATACTGATAATACAAAAACTAAACTTACATAGAATATAAACTATATACTAAGCTATCCACATCTGAGCAAAAAACTGTGTGAAATTAAAAATATCAAAATTGATTAGTTTTTACTTTTTCATTTTTTAAAAATGTTCTATTTATTATAGCATATAATACTTTCTTGCATTATTGCTATTAAATATTAATATTTAATATCCCCCAAAAATTTGTGGGCATAAACTTGCATTTATTGAAAAAAGTTAAAACTTAGGTTTTAGTTTAAAAGTAAATTAAAATCCAAATGTATTGAGAAAAACATAAACTGGATACTCAAAACAGCTCCAGTTTGACAAGATTCTATCAACACTTTGATATATGCAAAAACTAGCAAAATCATAAAATGATCAAAAATACAAAACAATAATACTTTACAAAAATGCATTTAAGCTAACCTTTCGCAATAAGTTTTTGTGACAAACAACTGCCATCAGGTAACTCAACTTCACAAGTCATTTTATTATTGGAAATGCTCAAACATTTAACTTTTATAGCTTGATTAAGTAATGACAAAGCCATAAATTCAACAACATCATTACCCCAGACACCATTCTCTGATGTACTTTCTATACCTTCCAAACAAAACACTGAAGCAAGTATTGGATAGCTAAGGAGCTGCTTGTCAATACAACGAATGTTTTTTATTTCTACATCAGCTTGATTTCCAAAATCAATGAAATTTACCTTAAATAGAAACATAAAACAAAATATCACAAGTATTAAAAACAAACCTAACATTAAAAACAAACATTAATTTAATTAGAACTAGAGACTTATAAAAATTATTTTACTTTAAATGCATTTACAACTACTAAATGCACTTACAGTAACTCATGATTGATAAGAGATATACTGATTATTAATAATTTTTTGCGTTAATTGTAAAATTCAAAATAAATAAACATACTGTAGCCATCAAATCTGTATTATAACATATAATACTGGCACGATACCATTGATTATCAGCATTATACTTTGCACAACAAATCTGATCAATTTTAGGTTTTAACAAAGTAAAATCTTGTATTTTATCAATTTCTTGCAACCTTAGAGTAACTTCTTGTAAAGCAGCAAGTGTATTATCGTCTAATATCTGTGCATACATAAGTGCAGGAGATACAATTTCTGTAAAACAGACTTCAAATTCTGTTGAATCAGGAAATGAACTTGTTGACAATTCTGAGAGCATCAATTGGTGAAAAGTGTCAGAATGAATATGGTTCATTTTTTTAATTTCTAAACTATCTAAAAAACAAATAAATAAATAAATATATATATATATATATATATATATAGACCTCGGCGGGATTAAATGAGCACGAGATCAAAGAAAAGCTCTCCTAAAAAAAACTTGGGGAGCTGTGCGAGCTGCTCCTCATATAAATCGGTGCTCTTTTTAACTTTAATTTATTTTGCAACAACCCTGCTTTTTAAAAAGCATTGCATTATAGTATGCAATTAATTTTTTTTACAAATGACATTGCGTTTTTTGTTTTAATTACAACGATAATTATACTTTCGTAAGAAAAATGATACTTTTGCCGTAGCCGTATATTGCTCCCGTAAACCGTTTTAAGGGGGGTGTGGGCGATATATATATATATATATATATATATATATATATATATATATATATATATATATATATATATATATATATATATATATATATATATATATATATATATATATATACACACACACATATATTTTTATATTTTTAGAGCTCTTGGATACCAAAAACTATGAAGAAGTAGTTTTTTGTGACTTTCAAATCCGGAGTCGATTTTGGGACTCCGCATCCTGATAGTGTGTGTGTGTGTGTGTAAAATAAATACACACACATAAAAGCATACTTAGAACAACACCTTGATGTCATACTGAAATAGAGAGCTGCCGGGATTGTCAGTACATACATCAACTGATACAGGGATGACATGCAAGGGATTTGCTGCCAGAATGACTAAGGGTTTCAGTTTCAGGTTACTCTAATTTTTTTTCCATTATTAATTGTGTTTTTTTAATTTATTTTTTTTGAAACCGAATAAATTTATGCGTAATAATATCTTCTATAGAAGATATTGATATGCATAAATATATATATACTAACCAAATTGATAATATATATACCAATTAAATATTAACTTCTTATTCATACAATTCAGTGTTTTAAACGAAACATGAAAAATAATAAGATATGAAACTTTATCATTCATTTTATATAATAAAACCAATTCTTACCTTAAAAGACAAAATCACACACAAAAAAAAAACACAAATATAATATACACATGCATACATACATGCATAACTACATATATAATAAGTCATATATACACATGCATACATACATATATAATAAGTCATTATTGAGAGTCACAATTAGCAGGGGCTACTTTGTTTTCAGCAGCGTTGGCCGTATTTTTTTAACTATACGGTCGACGCTGAAAAAAGGGGTACTACGGTTCACATTTTTTTCCTTAACTTTGGAATATACATCCAAATATCATTGTGATAAAAAAAAAAAAAGCAACAATTTATAAGAAAAAACTAAAATCTCATTTTATGGTGAATGGTGAACTATTCCACCAGAAAACTCTTGAATGTTAAATTAAAATCTCTTAAACATTAATATTAAAAATTTTACTAATATAATAATTTTTTGCATAGCTAAGCAAGTGGCTTGCCAACTTTATCCACTATTCTGGCAAAACACAGAAACTGTGGGTAAACATATGTATTTATTTTTTTGTTTGTTTATATAATCGATCTTTTAAACAAACAAAAAAACCAATGACATCATGTATTTATTTTTTTGTTTGTTTATATAATATGTATTTATTTTTTTGTTTGTTTATATAATCGATCTTTTAAACAAACAAAAAAACCAATGACATCATGTACTAAAACTCTTAGAAATAAAACGCGCTTGAATAAATTATGGCATATATTATGCTGCTTTAAATTGTGGCATATATTATGCTTACTTTTTGGCCTACAACAAAATGGAAAAGGCAAAATAAAAAAGTTAGTTTTTTCTGGTATATATTTATTCTTTTGTTTTAATCAAAACAATTAAGCCCAAACATTTTTTTTATTATTCATTCTCTTTAATATGAACACAATATGTTTTGGAGGTTTGGGATCCCTATAAAAACAAATACTTTCTGGATTAAAAATAAAAATCAAATTAATTAAGTTTGCGATTATTTAAATAACCTTTATTTTGAAATGGTTAATTTCAAAACATATTTCTTAAAAAACCTTTAGACAAAACAGAAATGTTGGACGAAAATCGAAAGTAATTAAAAGTGATGTAATTTTTTGATAAAAGAATCATTTTCCACCTTTCTTACACTCAATACCAACAATTTATAGAATTATATATATATATATATATATATATATATATATATATATATATAAATATATATATATAAATTATTAAAAATATAACATATCAGACTTTTTACAAAATAATAGTATATGTAAAAATCGTTTTCTTTAATCATTTTTAATCCAATCATTTTTAACTTAAGTATTTCTTTCAGAAATTATTTTATTTTGCTGTGAGTGTTGCATTAAAATTTGCTTTTGTGTGTGGCCACAACTCATATTGTGTTTTATGGTTTATCAAATAACAAATTAAATGTTTAAAAAAAAATTTAAACTTTAGTCTTTAAAACCATCATTGTAAAGACAAAACTTTATATTGTTTAAAAATATAGCTAATCTTAAATAAACTCAGTCATATATAGCATTAGAGTTTTGATTCTAAAACTGTGCTTATTTACGTAGTTTTATGCTAAAAAATTTGTATTTTTATATTATTTCAAAAATGATTGTTTTGCGATCTAAAACCTTTGTCATTTGGGATAAAACCCTCAAGTGGCATCTATATACATACTCATTAAAATAAGGGCTCTATTGGATTAGTATTTAGGTAAATTAAACTGCATTATTTATAAATGTAACCTTTATTTAAAACTTGTTTTAAATAAAAATTATATATATTTCATTAAAAAGATACAAATAAAAAAATAAATAAAAACTATTATTACAACTTTAATAAATTTTCTATAGAAAATTTGAAATGCAAGAAGTATCTATTTGTTCATTGCTTCATTCCATCAAACGTTATCATTATGATTGTGCAACATATTTGCAATGAAACTGATGAGGTCAGTATGTATTTCATGATACACTCTGTCACAAAATTGAACAATTTACATTTCTAGGTGCTTGAATGTAATGAAATAGTAGCTTAATCCATTTATGCTATGCTACACCTTGTAACAATAGGTAGGATAATCAAGAAACCATCTCTGCATTAGTAATTGAGTTTAGAGATCTCATGAAAAATAAATAACTAAAGCCTTATCAGCTCCTAGAAAATATTATAAAGGTGTGAAGATAACTCTATGGTAACATATTACATAATTTTAGTTTTTCTTTATTGACATGTGAATCTATATCTTCATACATGTAACATTACATCATATTAATTGATAAATTACACCAGACCACACAAAACTGTACTAAATAAATATTCTTCAGAAAACTTTTGCTTTTTAAATAACTGTTTTAACACCTTAAATTTTTTTTTCTAGTTAAAAATAGAAATCAATTTTTGTATTTTTCCAACTGAATTGTTTTAACTAAATTGAAAATACATTTGTTTATTCATTGCAATCCACAGCGAATCTTACAGATGTAATTTGTTTGTCTATTTGATAAAATGATGATCTTTTGTAAACTAGACACCTATATGAAAAGAGTTTGTATTAGGAAAAAATTGACATAGAAATCATTCACCATATAAACTTTAGGTAGTAAGTAACAATGAATTCATACTTTGGTCATTTTCCCAATCAAATATTTACACATAAAAATTTAGCAAAAGTTTTATATACTGCCAGCTAGAAGATTTAATCAAATACTTCAGCAAAGTGCTTCTTACTTCCCTCTTTTAGCAAACAGCTTCCTACTGAATAGTTATACTTCTTGCCTTTTTCCATTAAAACACAACTGAAATAGAAAAAAACAATTATAAAATAATTAAAAAATGAAAACAATTTTACTCAGCAATCATTAGAAAAAAATGTAATTGTCACATAAAAGAATATAATGTAGATGTATACATACATACATACATGGATACTTATACAAAATGACAGTAATATGTTCAAGAAGCCAAAATTGCTACTTAAAAAAGCGATGCAACAATATGTTGATACCAAATGCAAAACCTTATCGATGAATACCATTAATTTGATAATAACATTATTTTTACGAAAATGCATAAAGATAATACTGCATAACAAACTTTTAATTTTGCTTTGTCTTTGGGTTGAAAGTGTGTTTTTTCTAACCTGTTTTAATATTAAAACAAAAAAAAAAGGCTTCTATTACTGGGACAAAAACATTTTATAAGGTGTATGTATTCAAGAAAGTTTTAATTAACATTTAATACTAAGCATTTACCTAAAATAATACTGTTAAAATTTTCCAGTCCAAATACTCTTAAGAAACTTCCAGAACATTCTGTAACTGTCTAAAAGCAGTACTTTATTTATACCTTTAACCCTGTATAAAGTGCTTTTAAATTTATATAATAAGTTATACAGCTATGTTACAAGTTGAAGAAGAAAAAAGCCACACAAAGTTTGCTATCAACACACAATAGAGGCACAAATACACTTTTAACATTCCTTCTTTTATTGCCCCATTCCACTGGCTGATAAATTTAGGCTATTAATACCACATGTAAACCAAATGAATGGTCTATATTTATAAATAGTTTGTCTCAGAGCCTCAAATGTGTTGCTTTACAATAGAAATAATTACCCATCATTTCTAATCCCTAACTCTGTACATCTCAATTAAACTACAGCGGTGTCAAGATGTTGTCGAGTGGCCTATAATATGACGGGAGGTCATCAAAGACTTTTAGATGGTGTTATTTCTAATGTTTTTGAAGAAATTAACAAATGTCTTCGTTTACTTTGCCTCTTTGACAGCCTCTATAAAATTAAAGTGCACATCAGCAACTTTTTTATAGTACTGGCAATTACACCTCATGGTGACTTTTCAGTGGAACATGAAAAAAATGTTTCATTCAGCTTTAAAATATTTTAGAGTAATTTTAAGTAGCTATTTGTATTTCAGGATTGTTTTCTTTGTATAATATAAATAGTACAATATGTACATATAGTTCTTTTAAATTACACAAAAATAGTTTTCTTTATTTATAAATATACTTTCCAATGCTTACATGATCTTTTTTTCCAGGCATATTTCAACATAAATCACTTATGTCATTTAATATTTTAATAGAATCTGCTATATCTTTATGTAAGACTTGATATTTATACAATAGAGAAATAGCTAACAATCCTTTTTTGTTAAAAATCTGTCTAGCTCTCTTTGCCTGGTATTCTGTAACTTTTAAACTATTTTTTACCTCTGATATCGACCAACTTGGTGGTACTAGTGTTAGAAGTTGATTAATAGTATAAATGTTATAGTAACTACAATTTTCTAAAAACGAATGAATTTTATAAAGCTTGTCTGCACGTGCCAAATTTTATTTTGTTATGTTTTAGAAAGAAAAATAATTAAAAAATTATATTTTATGATAAAATATTTAAATTTTACAGCTACTTGCTATTGATTTGTTAAGATAAAATTAGTGTAAAAATATAATTGTTTTTTTCTGTCATATAGGATACATTTTCGAATATTTTTAATAGGTCTTTTACATAATATTGTTAAGTTAAATAAATTTAATGTTATAGTGTAAAGATATAATTGTTTTTTCTTTATAGCTTAATAATTCAATAACATTTTTTTGGCCTTTGTATACCTCTGCGTCATGAAAAAAATCTTAATGAAAAAATTTACTTGGTACCATATTATTATATTAAGGTAGTATTTTATAAAAAAAATAAATTAATTAATCTTTCCTACTTATTTTTTTTTTGTATAAAAAAAAAAAAAAAGTTTTTATGTTGAACCTATTTAGATTCCTTTTTTAGCATGTTTTGCATTGATAGATATTAATTTTTATTTATATGTATCAAATTGTTAATTTGTTATAATTTCAAAATATTTTTAGCAATCTATGTGGTTCTATAACTGATTTTTTTATAACCAATATAATTTCAAAAATTTAATAAACAATCAGTATTATACTTGGTCATTTGTATAAAAATTTAATAAACAATTAGTATCATACTTGGTCAGTTGTATAAAAATTTAATAAACAATCAGTATCATACTTCATTAGTTGTATAATAAATCAAAGCAGGATGTGTTTTTAGTAGTTAAAGTCTTTAAGTTTTATACATAATTATGCAAGACTTCCATAAAATTTTTATACATAATTATGCAAGACTTCCATAAATACAACATATCTTATTTTTTAGTCTATAAATCAAATTTAAAGCTTGATCAGCATTCTATAAGGAGGATTAATTTTAAAAATTTATTGAAAATAGTTTAAAGTTATAGCTCTATATCTCTGTTGTTTTTCAAGTTAGATTTTCAGTGACATAAGATTATAAGTAACTTAAAATATTAATATCAAAAACTTAAACAGGAGTGTTTTGAGATTATGTGCCTCAATGTTTGGGTCATATATATAACTATTTTATTAATTTTTGAGCATTTTCTCTTCATATTTCAGCATTTAAAGTACATTTATCGAATTCTGTATCAAAAAAGCATTATAAATGTTTATTTTTATATTTTCGCATTTGTTATTTCTCATTTTTTTGTGAAAAATATTTAAAATAATATTAAAATTTTGGAAAACTGTCAGTATTATTATCGAAATATTGCGGTTATATTGTTAAACATCTTAGGCAAAAAATTTTTGCGTAAAGTTTTCTTTTTAACAGCCAAAGAAGTTGGAAGAAAATATGGGGACCCATGATTCAAAATTTTAAAAATTTTGGCTAATTTGATATGGAATTACCCAAATATCATATTTAACATTATCGAAATACAAATGTCAAAAATTCTTGCTTTTATGTATTTTAGAAACTCTCTTTATTTTTTCTTAAAATAAACAAAAATTAAAATACTCATAAAGGCCAAATGACAAAGATTAACTGAAATAGTTTTTTTAATAAACAGTTAAATTAAATCTTTTTTTATAAAACTCAATGTCTAAATGTTATTGAATGTTTACTGTTTTTAAATTTATTTTAAATACAACATTAGTATTTCTGTATACTGCTTATAGTTAACAAAACATACAACTTGCAAAAATTAGTAGTCATTAAAAAATCTTTTTGTTTTTCTAAAAAATTTGATCAAAATTATATATCAAAATAAGGGATTAGTTTTACTTATAACATTCTTTGTGTTGTAACTGGTAGAATACAATATAAAGAATACAATTAGTTTTACTTTAAAAAAAAAAATTAAATTAATATTCATTTAGAAAAAAAATACAACAACATACCATGTGGCAATATTTTATTAGGTGCATTTAATTGAGCTTCACATTGATGATACATAGATGTTGCTACAATTTCAGTACTCTTTTGGTCTTCATTATTTTTATTATCACAACTAAACAAAAAAAAATTCTTTATTGATGAAAACTTAAACTTTGTTTATATAAAAAAAAGAACAATGTTAACTTTTATAGCTGTATATAAAGTATGCACATGTAGGCAACACACAATAATAATTATAAAATTTACATTTTCCTCCTTTTATTTACATTTTTGTTATACAAAAAATATTCAAATTTATCAACAAGCTGTTTAAAGGGATCCCAAAGTGCTGAGACAAGTTGTGTTCATAATAAAGAGAATGAAAAAAAAAGAAAAAAAATGTTCGGGCAGAATTTTTTTAAGTAAAATAAAGGTATACCAAGAATAATAAACTTTGTTGTTTTATTCAAAACTCATTGTCTCCTTTTTAGCCAGTTCCTCAAAGTCTTTAAAATACATGCTCAAATCTACAAACTTAATAAAAATCTACAGACTATAATTAATTCAAGAGCATTTAATATTAAAGAGTTTTAGTAAAAGATATCATTTTAGAATTTTTTGAATCAATATTATTGTTTTTTGTTTTATTTGTTTTTTATAATAAGCATTTATTATCAATAGTATGTCTTTCCTGTAAATTTTTTAGGAAGCTAAACAAAAGAATGTTTTTTTATAAAGCGCAAGAAGCAAATAAAATTAAGATTTTGAAAATAATTTAAAAAAATAATAAATATTCTCTTAAATATAATAAACATTCAAAAAAAACGTTTATCACATATTTTATTATCTTTTTTTTTTTCATGTATATAATGTGAATTTTTTTCTTTTCTCTAGTTTTTCTAAGCCGTGTTTTTTCTAGTTTTTCTAGTTTTTTCTAGTTTTTCTTGTTTTTTCTAGTTTTTCTAAGCCGCTAAGTTTTTCTAAGCACTATGACATTTTTGTTCTCATATCGAAATGACCATGTACAAATTCTTAAATTTTTAATGAATAATTTTAGTAATCAAAATGATTTATTAGAGATACTTGCTGAATTCTAAAATTTTTAGTTAAAAAATATTTCTAGATTTACACTTAACAAACTATATATCAATAGAAGGGTAAACAAATGAGCTTTTTAATTAAATTTTTAACATGCAATAAGAAATGCAAAGTGCTTTTATATAATAATAAGTAACAAATTTTTTTATCTATAATAATAATAAAAATTCTATAATTTGATAAAAAAAAAAAAAATTTTTTAGATTTCTTATCGAAATTCTACAATGACGTCATTTACTTTGGAACTAAACGCGCTTGAATAAATTATAAAGTCTGTCTGTATGTATGTTTTCACTCAATGAAAATGGAATTAAAGGATGCTCTTTTTTTAATTACTAAATAAGTTTTAAAACAGGAAAAATAAATGTAATAACTAAATCAAGCAAAATTATAAAACAGGAAAAATAAAAAAGGAAGAAAAAGATTTTTTATTTTTGTTATTTTTTAATTATTTATTATTTACTTCTTTTTCTTTGTTTCTGTTTTGACATGTATAAATTTTTAGTTTAAATTTTTTATTTACAAAATATACATTAATTTACATTAGCAGATTTACACAGCCAACTATAGGTAGGCTGTTGAACTTTTAGAACCTAATGATGCACATGTATGCAATCCTTACAGAAATTCATTATTGACTAAGTTTATATAGATATATTCTTTTAATTTATTTATTTGAGTTTTCATGCTATATTTTTCTATAGAATGTTCTTATATCCGAAGATATTGTTTGCTTAGCATAGGAACAGCCACAAATAGTCATTAAGACTAATACAAAGTAGTTTCCGTTATTGACCAACATTTTTGCGTACCAAAGTACTACTCAAGCGCTGCGTTGGCAGTGGCCGGATTTGAACTCGTATAGTTCAACAGTCTGGGTTTTACCTTTTCTTTTGACGCTCTAACTATCTGAGCTATCCCCCCACTTTTATATATATATTGAACTTCTTGATCACAATCATCAGAACAAATAAAATCACACATTTTATAATTGGACATTTGCATACTAGTATATCAAAAATTTATTAAGTTTTTCTTTGAAATTTATTATTTGTTTAGATCCTTTTTTTCTTTCTACAGGATAATTTCCTTTTTTTAAGTCATCCCAGCCCTCTTTTAATAAAATTCTATATCTTATAACAAGAAATTATAAGTTGTTTTATGCATGCATTACAAACTTTTTTTTATATATTTTATACATATAAAGTTAAAAATATTTTTTATAAATTAAATGTAACATTTTGTTGTTTAAAAGCCTGTTTTTTTATGAACAATATTGTATGGTAATGTTGTTATTCCGTTTAAAAAAAAAAAAACGTTTATATATTTATAAAAAAAGGCTAATCGCCTAAGTAATATTTTTCTGATTTGAAAAACTCAACCAGATTTGGATTCTCCATAAAATTTTGCAACTTTTACTTATATCCCAAATTTTATTAAACCAATTTTTAAAAAAGTCTAGAACTGACACATCCTATTAAATAATAGTAACATTATAGTAAATACAAATTAGTATTCTTTGTCATGATAATCATGTTCCTTTAATGAAAAAAGTGCTAAATTATCAAAACCTAATCATCAAGATTTCAAAAATTTCAACTTTTTACTTATCAATATCTAGTCATCAAAACTAATTCAAAACTTTTAATTGAAATAAACTTAAATAAATTCAAAAATAATAAACAAAAATTTTTTCTTTCTATTAAAATATTTTGCTGTGAAACAGTTGAATCAAATATGGTGTGCTACATACTATAAAAGTTAATAAACTTCGTAAATCACCATAAAATTACTAAAATTTATAAAAACTTATATTGCTAAATTTTAATTGCCAGTAAAATCACCATTTTATTAAAAAAACTTACCCCCAAACTGAATCATCATAAAGTTTATCATAAAAAACTTCATCTTCATTCTTGTTTACTTTAAAACTTTGTACATTTGGGTTAGCAGGTGACACATATAATTTTTTCCCTTTAAATATGCTGTTATTCAATATCTGAATAGCCGAACTAGCCATCTCAACAGAATCCATGGTTACAAACCTGAAACAAGAACTCTATATTTATTGATAATTACAGACTAGTAAACAAGAGTTCTAAACAACAGAAATTGAATGACCTATATTCTTAGGCATTTGATTCAAATAAAAAAACACCATTGCTCAAAAAAATATTCATACCCATATGTTGAATATTGGCCAGGTTTCTTTGGTGGAACAACTTTAATATTATATATTGGACCAATATCTTTAAATAACTCATGCAAATCATTCTAAACAACAACAACAAAAAAAACTTTAACTTATTTTAAATAGAGTTAAAATATTCTTCAATAAATTTTTACCAAAATTTAATAAATAAAATTTATAATAAAAATCATAAACATTGGACAACAACAACAAAAAATTGAATTAAATAAATACTGTCAAATTAAATAACATTAAACCTATTGTATTGTGGTGTATTTTGTACAAAAACAGTATAAAATACTTAATTATTTTTAATATTATGACGACTTTACAAAGTTTAAAAAAATTGTAAAAAAAAAAAAGTACATAAAGAATTTTTTGTTTGTTTATATCAAATTTTCATGTGTAACAATTTTAGCGTCACACTTTTTATGTTAGTAAACATAAAAAGTGTGAAAACATAACACTGCTTATACCACAGAATTCCCATTTAGTTTAAAATTCCAAAACAATAAAAAAATCAAAACAAAAACTTATAATGGGCTTTGTTTTTAAGTATTACATTATAAATACAAACGAACCTTTTAAATAATTTTTTTATAGTGTTTTATTTTAAAGGCACTTTAACAAGCATTTTAAAAAAAAAAGAATAATCTTTTTTATATTTAGGCCAGACAGTTATCCAGTTCAAGTATAAAAAAAATCATAAGTTGTCCAGCTTATCCTAACTTATCATAAAAATTAACACATAAGAAATTAATTAAAATGATCAAGTCAACTTTTGATTTGTCATTTGATTATGCCAACTTGTTCATTAAAAATGTTAAAAAATAACTATATTTTCTACTAACCTTAAAATAATATTTAGCACATTATTAGATTATCATTAACTTTAAGATTTTTGTTATGAATATCTCGTTTATTTATGATTATTTTTTTATATTTATATTACACAAAATATTTGTTATGTTTATAATGTAAATATTTTTATTATATTTATAATATAAAATATCTTTTATATTCATTTTGTTAAAACAATAGTTTAAACTAAACGACAGTTTGCAACATTGTAATGATTGTTTAGGGTAATTCCACATCAAATCACCCACTCCATTGAACCATGTGTTTTCTTTTTGTTTTAAATTTTGACAGATGATTCCTATTTATAAAAAAATATTGCATGCAAAATTTCAGCTAAAAATGTCAAGCGGTTGACAAGATACAGCAAATTTAATTTGGACCTGGTTTCTCAAAATGACCCGGTTTTCATAACATTCTGAAAAGTTGTTTTCCTCAATAAAATAAGAAATAAAAATGGCAAAAATATAAAAATATACATTTATAATGGTTTTTTAATGCTGAATTCAATAAATGTACTTAAAATGCTGAAATGTTAGAGGAACATCCTTAAAAATTAATAAATCAACTAGTTTATATAATCTAACTTTAGGGCCCAATATCTCAAAACACCCCCGTCAAATTTTTTTTTTTTGCTTTCAATATTTTAAGCTAGTTATAATCTTACTAGGCACAAAAAATCTAACTGGAAAAAAAACTGAAACATATAGAACTTTAATTTTAAAGATGTATAACTTTTTTAAGAAATTCCTAAAAAATATTTATAAATTCAATTAAAATAAATTATTCCTAATTTACAAAGTTACTTAAAAATACAAGATTTTTAAAGGTATCGAATGTGCAAGTTATTTTGACTGTATTTGTAATAGTTCACAATATTGTTGCCATTTTACTTGCACTTCTTCTATTTCAACATTTTCAAACACATAGTTTCTACCAGAACTAGAGCAAGCTTGTGGAACAGATAGTTTTTTCAATATATTGATGTTAGGAATAAAACAGTGGTCGTCTCTTTCAGGCCAGTTAAAATAGATTGATGGACCTCTTGGGTGGAGAAACTTAACTTCAGCATCAACTTCTTCTAGGTTGATTTCAGTTACAATGCCGATCCACCACTTATCATCATAAACTACCGCAACATAACCTCCTAAAGTGACAGTATCAGGTTCAAATATATGTTTCTTTTTAAGATTGTGAATTATTGTATATTTAGTGTCTGTACTACACCTCTTCGCCCCAACCCTATTATCTCCAAGATGTATAAATTGATGAAAGCTACGAGTACCTGGTAGAGTTGTTACATCAGTGTACCTTTCTTTTTGCTTTTCACGTTGCAATTGTAAGTCCAATCCCTTTATGTAAATGAAGTTAACAGCCTTAATTTTCTCAACACAAAATTCATACATAGCCTCTGATGTGAGAATTTGGTTTCTGTATGGTCGTTTTAAACTTTCTTGTGCTGTTAACCTTTTTACAGTACCACCAATTCCATCGCATGGTGACTTTCCGTGGGACGTGGCAAAAAAGTTCCATTCAATTTTGAGGGAAAATTCTGTCTCTAGTTGGCATAGATTGTAAAAGCTTTTACAATTTTTGTACTGTCCTGCACAACCATCAGTGAATAAATGCAATTTGGATAAATCAAGAAATTTTGTTTTTAATATTGGTATAATTAGTTGAAATATCTTGTATACATAAGTTACATCGTGTATAATGTCGTCTGATATAAAACAGTAAGAAATATGTTTCACTACACCATTTTCTTCTTTATAGTATATCACTAATGGATGTAAAGAACATTGTTGGGTGTTCCAGTGATAGCTCTGTATTTCATCTTGGACTACAAAAGCATAATTTTCAGCAAAGTCGCCAAGAATGATAATGTTTGATTGATCCATATTTTCTTTTAGTTGATTAAGGTATTGTGATTGAGATTTGGCAATATAAGAATGAGATTGTAGCTTTTCAAAACAAGATACCAATAGTTCAATAAACGTTGGAACATCTGTTGTTAAACTCAATAGTGTTGCACGATCAGTAGTTTGCCATTGTTTGTAGTGTATCTCAAAATCATCTTCGTATTCTCCAAAAATCTCATACAAATACATGGTGAGCAGTTCTTTACCAGGACAATTATCACACTGTGCAAGCATGCATTCTTTGTTTTCTACTGAGCAAACAGTTTTCAAAAGTAAATCCTTATACGTTAGTTCAATATTTAAGGCATCCACTAGCAAAATGGCATTTTGGTGATAAGAACAAACACAAACAGAATGTGTACCACTTGCACCTGGCAAAATGCACCACTTTGGTCTAAGTGAAGCAAATTTTGAGTAACTTATTTGTATTTCTGGATTGTTTTCTTTGTATAATACATATAGTTCCTTTAAATTACACAAAAGCAGTTTTTTTTGTTTGTGGACGTTCTTTTGAATGCTGACATAATCTTTTTTTCCAGGCATAGTTCGACATAAATCACTTGAGTCATAAAACAATTTAACTGAATCTTCTATTTCTTTATGTAAGACTTTACCCTTATACAATGGAGAGATACCTAACAATCCTTTTTTATTAAAAATTTTTCTAGCCATCTTGGCCTGGTATTCTGTAACCGAAAAGTTATTTTGTACTTCTAATATTGACCAACTTGGGGGTGCCAGTGTTAGAAGTTGAACAATAGTTCGTTTGTCAGAACATAGAATTTTTTCTTTTACCAAGCTCATAATTTCATCAAAGTTTGCAGCCTTCTTTTTCATCCCATTGGTTTCATAACATAGTTTTGAGGAAAATTGAGTTTCAATTTTTCTAGTAGCGTTATACGCCATTTCGTTGATGCATGCAACTTTTTGCTTTCCTTCTGACAGTATATGTTTTAATGATTTTGAATGAGATTTTAGAGGAGATAAACTAAAATTTTTGAGTTCTTTATTGATCTCCTGTCTTATTTTTTTGCATGGTGATATTAGAAAATCCTCATCTTGTTCACTCTTACTTTGCTCCTCTTCTGTAAGTTCTTTTTTTCTGGCAATCTTTTGTTTACAAGGTTTGCAAAGTTTCTTCCCAGGAGGAATATTCAAACAATTTCTCATCATGACTTGTGACTCTTTTATTGTAACTACGCCAAGATTTTCTAAAAGTAATTGAATTGTATAAAGTATGTCTGCACATTAGTTCAAAACTTTCGTTTATTTTTTGAAAAACATAAATTAATGAAATATTTAAATTTTACAGCTACATACTTGTGATTTTCTTTGTATGTCTATTGAATGGATCACAACAAGCTTTCTGCCATATAGGATACATTTTCAAATATTTTGTATTATGTCTTTCACATAATATTTCTAAGTTTGATAATTCAATATTACAGCGTAAAGATATAATTATTTTTTCTTCATTGCTTAAAGTTTCAATAACATCTTGTTGGCCTTCGCAAGCATCTGATGTCATTAACCCAATAGAACACATCTTAATAAGATAAATTATTTAGTATGAAAGTATTTCCTAAAAATAAAAATAAAATTCTTCTACTTAATTGTATGTAAAAAAAGTTTTTTAATAAATATAATTTTTAATAAATGTTGTTCTTAATATTATTATTATTAATATTAATAATAAATGTTGTAAAAAAAGAAGTTTTTAAATAATTATATTATTTAAATTATTAATTTTTTAAAATTTAAATATAATCTTACCAATAAATGTTGTTCTATATCTGAACTTTTATAAACTAAACTTTTATAAACTAATTTTTAATAAACTTTTACAAACTATAGTTGTCAAAATTAAAAAAAATATCATATTAACATAACAATTATTTTTTATAAAATGTTTTTATATAAAAACAAAACCGGATGTTTTTTCAGTTGTTAAGTTCATATAATTAAGTTATCATATAATTAAGACTTCCTTAAATATATAAAAAGTCTATTAACCAAAATTAATTCTTTACAGAATTCTATAATTTGCTACACAAGTACTATCTTTAGGAAGATTTTTAGCAGCTTTTAAGTGATGCCATACCCTTTTAATTTTTTAATTAGTTTGCAATGAAGTGTATTGAATGCTTTTGCAGTAAGAAAAAAGCAATTCGAAGGATACAAAAAAAAAAAGAACTTTCCTACTTAGTTTTCAGTAAAAAAACATTTATTATTAATATTAAAAAAGCTCTAGTTTTAAATATATTAAATAATGATATAGTATTAGATATTTCCAAATCTTTGGCTGT